TAACATGAGTAAATGTTTGAACAAAAGAGAATTGCAACTTGAACATTCGAATGAACAAAAATTTCTCAATCCTAGCCATGTTTTGGCAAGGGAGCAGTGATCATGTTGGGAGTCTCAGGTACTTCAAACTGAATCTCTCTAGCGTCGATCATGTCTTGAATCTTGTTTTTGAGAGGCCAACAGTTGTCCGTAGTATGCCCCGGGCTATCAGAATGGTATGCGCACCTATCGTTGGGATGATAGTTAGGAGCAGAAGTGTTTGGATTCCGGAGAGGAGCCCTTAAGGTGATCAGCCCTGCCTCCAACATTTGTTGTAGTGCTTGATCCAGCGACATGTTGATCTTGGTGAACTGCCTTTTAGGCTTGTCTGGTTTGCTCTGATCAGCCCGTTGTTCTGGGCGAGGTCGTTGTTGGACCTGTGAAGTAATAGCAGCTTGGAGAGGCCCAAACCTTTGACTTCTTGGAAGTTGATTAATGACTGGGTCCCTGACTTGGGCTGGTTGCTTCATGTCTTGAAGAAGCTGACTGATCATGGCCCTCAGCTCTCCTTGCTCCTGAGCTAAACCTTGGATGAGAACCCTTTGCCCCAGCATCTGGGTTTTCAATGTGTCTACCTCAGCTTGTAGACGTTTCAGCCGTTCGTCCTTATCGTCCTCAGCATTGTTCCTGACCAAAGTCCCCGTGAGAAGTGTCCTTAACTCCTCCTGTCCCTTGGATAAATTCAGGAGGATTTCCCGGAACCGAGTCTCTTGAGCAAGAAGGTCCTGGTTATCCTGTTGGGAAGCCATTGCTGAAATAAACAGCGGGAAAGGTAAGTGACCTGCAACAAGGGTACCTGTTATGCAATGATGTGTATGTATGCATGCAATGTTTTCAAGGACCTCGCGGAGTAAACAAGAAAATTGTTAGAATTCGAATCTGGTAGCTTGATTGAAGGAACTTCCTGTTGTAGAGAGTCCTTCTTCAAGAGTCAAAGGCTCACCATGTCCAGTGGGTCATAGCCCCTGACAACCTTGGCTAGAGGAAAATAAACCCTCTTTGCCCCTTGCTAGACGTTTGATTCATCATGACCTGCATCACAAGCCCTTGAGATCCTTGAAATGGGTTAAGATGTATGCAATGGTATGATGTTATGGTATGCATGGGGTAATGTGAGTAAACCCTGTTATGAGTCCCCATCAAGGACTACAAACAAAACCTGTAAGAAATTAGTCTGCAAGAAACTCAGTACACTCTGTTATGAGCCCTAATTAAGGACTATAAACAAAACCTGCAAGAAACTCAATACACTCTGTTATGAGTCCTAATTAAGGACTATAAACAAAACCTGCAAGAAACTTAGTAACCCCTGTTATGAGTCCCAATTAAGGGCTAAAAACAAACCCTGCAAGTAGTTCATGTGTCAGATAACAAGCATGCAAGTAGTCAAGTACGAAGGCACACAAGTCACACAAGACAACCCTTAGAGTTTAGGCCTGCATGGGGTCTGGGTATTACCCTCTTGAAGTTGGTGGGTTCAACCTGTCCTATTAGAAGTAACCGGGTTCTAAGGGTCCCAATATCACGGGATTGCTTTCATTGTTCATCGTTTCGATTTAGCCACTGAACTGGCGACCGAAATATTCCAGGAAAGCAACCCTCAATTGAGTGTAGTATCAAGTATCAACCAACCTCGGACTGCACCAAAGTCAGTTATCTCACTACCCTAAAGAGGCCAAGATAATTCAATTAAGGTTCCTAAGGTCTGTTGATGCTTCACGACACCACGCGGAGGCCCCGTACTCTCCTTGACTGAACTCAAGGGTTACCGGTACACACACTACGCCAAATAAGCTATTTAATAGCGCTTTTTTTTGTTTTTGATAGCGCTTAAAAGTGCTATTAACCGCGCCACTATTGTAAATATTTCTTATTTAATAGCACTTTAAAAGCGCTATTAAAGTACCAATTTATAATAGCGTTTTAATTAAAGTGCTATCAAAGTCAGTATTTTGCATGTTTTTTGTTTGTTTTTTTATAGCACTCTAAACAAAAAGCGCTAATATATAACATATGTTTGATAGCGCTTTCAAATAAAGTGCTAATAAATGGTACATATTTGGTACAATATTTTTAATAAGTACAATACAATATTTTTTCTTACACAATCATTTTTTTTGGTGTAAATATAAAATAACTATATTCAATTCAACACAAATAACGCTTTAAGTTACTCATTGCATATATATTATGATCCATCAAATACCAAATAACATTTTAAATTACCAAATCCTATTGTTTCCAAATATCATAACATATAGAATATTAAGAGGGCGTTTGCATAGCCAAATTTGTAGATGCCCATCTATGAGTACTTCAATCCAAATCCAAAAACATACAATCAAATTCTCTAAACAAAACACCAAAAAAATAAGAAAGGATAACAAAACAATCCCATGTAGTAACCACCTTCATGATCCAAAAGCGTTGAACTCATAGATACAATCACTAATTAGGCAAAATAATTGCTTCTTGTTTTCCTGTATCATAGAAGGAATATTGATTATGTATTGTACAATAAAAACTAATTCAACATATAAAGAATAATCAAACATTTAATATGGGTCTAACAAGAAGCGCATAAAATAAGGAATGATTATTATAAACTAATAACAATAAATCGATATAACTAATGCAATAATTGAACTAATTAAGTCTAACAAGAACATGACTTGTAAATATATAGACCACAATTTCCATTATTAGATGCATATAAACACTAAACAAAATATAATTCAAATTCTCAAAATATACATAAACACTTAATTGTGTGTAACTTTCTTTTCATGATCCTGAACTAGATATCAAACACCTTACAATTGTTACTACGAATATCTAAAAATTTCAAGTAGAAACGGAAAACTATAAATCAATCATACAATAAGATATAAGTCATTTTTCCGTATTTTCCTATTTCAAAATTTAAATTCGAGACCAAGAAAGAATACTCAGTACCTCTGTGCCATATCTTCTAAACCAATAAAATACTAAAATCATTTATACGACAACTCTAAATCCAACTCAAAAATTAAAATTAAACATCTAAGTCAAAACATTTGAACTCTAAATCCATGAGTAATATTTGTCTTGTTTATCAAGTATCAAGTCAAGGAAAAACTCACCGAAAACATCATCCACCACATAAGTAGCCCAATCCTCCTTAACCTCAGTTAACTTATCATGAGAGTAGGTACGACATTTGTGGTCAAAAAAGTACTTCAAATATGAAAACATCAACAATTAATCGTGTTAGAATTAAATTATATTAATTTAATTTACAAAAGAATAATAATAATAATTAAAATCACGTACATTTGTGGGGATCATAAATTCATTTTCCATGATGACCTCTTTCATAAATCGCATTACAAAGTATCCACAATCAACGCCATTAATTTGATGTTATAATCAGTAACATGTTCTATCATGAAAGAAGAGAATGTATGCCTTCAAAACTCCCTAAAACCTATCTAGAATACATTCTCAGCAAGAAAAAAATCATGAGAAGTCAGTAATCATTGTTGTTAGTTCAGCCATATTACTTATAGCTACATTAATTTAATGCAATTGATAGCCAGAAAGAACATGAGGATAGATGAAACAATTCTAGAAGTCATCCTTAAATCAACAATCTTTTCTGAACCAAACCCAATTCATTGCACCCTACTGGCTATGGCTACATACAAAAGCATTGAATCAAATGATCACAGCTTTGATATGGAATTCAGAGATATAAAATATGTGAAAATCGGAAAATAGAACTACATTGAATTACACAATGAGCCAAAGGATGGTAGGCCCCCCATTAATAGCACTTGAAGAAGGAGATAGAAGTTCCCCAAATCTAGCTCCGTCATGTGTCCATAAAAAGCAAGCCTTGGGCTCACCATGCAAAATTATTTAAAAAAATGTAGCCAGAAAGACGTCGGGAATTCACTTTCTCCACTCAGAACCAAAGTATGATTTGTTAAGAAACTTATCCAACTCACTGATCACAAGCTTCTGTAAAACCCAGACTAACAATTAAGCTATACACTTTTTTTTTCTTCAAAAAGTGACACCACCCACTGCTTCATTAGCTATTAAAATAGTAGTCTAATACTTGTTATTTACAAAAAAGTAGCTATGGTTCTTCAAAAAGATTTTTGATATAATAACTCCCCCCTACTTAAATAAAAATATTGGCAAAAGACCAATTCAACAAATAGTCAGTTAGTCTTTTGTGCTCCTCTTGAACCCTAGTCATTATGAACCTTCCTTTTTCCAAATTAGGTAGGTCAACCAATTGATCATAAAAAAATCCCATTTTTGGTCTTACATATTTGATATAATTTCATGATCACATATGAACCCTCATTTATTTATAGCTTTTTGTCCGTGCAAAGAAAGTTGCATGTTTGGCTAAAACATAGCTCACATGTAAAGTCCAAAACGTTTATGAAAAAAAAATCTCCCCAAAAGCACTGATTATGAGTGCTATACAATTTTAAACAAAAATAAAATATCAAATCATGAATAGCCAAAGATAAATTTCAAACCTTGAATCGTATCAGTTAGTGCGATTTGAAGATTCAGTGAAAATAACTTTACATATATCACATAAATGACGAATGGTGCATAATCTGACCAAACAAGGTCTCAACTTCTTACTATACAAAATCATAACCACAAGTCATAACTGAGTACCAATATCAGCTTATTTAAGAGCTAATCAAAAACAAAACAAAACAAAAAAACAAAAGTAACCAAACACACTCATGAGTCATAATACTGTGTTCCAAATAAATATCCCAAGTACACTATCACATGCTGTTTGTGGACATTGAATAATAATTTCATGTGATGAGTAATATATTATAGAAAATAATATAATGTTAATGCCATTCTTCCACTCATAGACTGAGACTACAAAAAAATTATTGCATGAAGCCTATGTTTCAAAAGAACAATAGCAGAGAATATTATAGTAAATGAGGTGTGGGTGATAGGGTGGGTGAGCAAGGGGATGTATGAAGCCTCTGTATCAGAAGAACTGAAAGATACTGGAATACAAAAAAAGAGTTCAGAGTGAGTAGGGGCTTATGTGTAGCCCTTCTCAAAGATTCACTCTTCTGTTCGGCTGTATTTTCTATTTTTGCAAAGAGTTTAAACAATCATTTTTAAATTACAAGATATGATTTCTAAAATCACAAATCTATGAGATTTAGATCCATTTGACTTACGTTATATAATCAAGTGAATACTTGTAAGCATAATATATAGCATGTACCTTTTCAATATTCTCCATCATGACACCTTTGACTTCAGAAACCTGAGCTTTCACCTTAGCAAGCTTGCTCACCTCCTCAGGATGATCAACACAGTACTGCATATGTTCCTTCAATTTCGGCCTGCCACAAATAAAGATCAAAGCACATAAACTTTCTTTAAACAATAGTCACAAAACAAACCCAAAATCATCAAACTCAAAAAGCAAAAACTCAATACCCAAATTCCTTATTAAGACTGTTAGGCGCAGCTGTAGAAGCCTTCCCACCGCCATATTTTGCAACAAAATCATCCTTCACACGCTCCAGAAAAGCCACAGGCACTTGTCTTCCAACCGATTCATCCGCAACAACACAATACGCTACAAAAACACCAAAATCCATAAAATCAGTACTGTAAAATATATATTACTCTTCAAACACCAGCACCTAATTAAAATCAACCTCTAGATAATTAATTAATTAATTAATTAAATAATAAGCATATAAAACACGAAAATCACTGAAGAACAACGCTAACCTAATATCACTTTTTATAGTCAAATAGCGTCAACATACAGATATAACTAATTTCTAGGTTATAATTTGTTAATGAAATCGAATTTAGAACTAGGTTTTCGTTAGATCGGAAATGAAATGAATTGAGATTAAGATTAAGATTAGGATTAAGATGAAAAAAAGGTGAAAAGTACGAACTGTAGCCATTATCGACGAGGTAATTGAAGGTGTGGCCATCACAGTTGTAGGTGAATTTGTTGAGTTCGACGGAGAATGAGATTTGGTTGTTCTTTCTTTTCGGTGTTTCCTCCTTTTGTTTGAGTGTCGTTTGAGAAGTGAATCTGAATCTGAATCGATGGTGAATCCGATGGCTGAAGAATGGATCCGGGTGAAAACCGAAGGAAGGGATGACGGTGGTAAATCAATGACTAACGGCGGTGAATCAATGAAAACCGAAGGAAGAAGAGGAAGATTTGACGGCGGTGAATCAGTTGGGAGAATCAATGGCTAAGAAGGAAGCAGAGGAAGATAATGTTTTTGGGAGAATCAATGGTAGTGTTTTTGTTTTTGGCGGTGAGTGGATGCGGGAAACCCAATTTTCTGAAAATGTGTTTTGTTTTTTTTTTTATCAATTAATTAATTAATTCATTATTATATATAACATAGCGCTTTTTAATAAATGCTATTATATAGGTAGTCAAATAATAGCGTTTTATACAAAATGCTATCTTAAAGAAGTTTAATAATAGCGTTCTGGTACAAAGTGCTATCAAAATTACATAGTCTGTATTATATAATAGCGCCCGATTAAAAAGTGCTATTATAAATGTGTTTTTTCCATTTTAATAGCATTTTTTTTAAAAGTGCTATTAAATTAGGTGATACAAAAAATCATTTTTGGCGTAGTGACACCAAAGTGCCACATCAACGTAGCAGACTGTTTCAACCATGTCGGTATACCCCGCACAGTTCCCTCACAGCCTTGTTGCTACTTTCTAAGAAGGTATCCCCAGATCCGGGTTAGGATCTATAGAACTCCCAAGACAGTCCCACAATAATAAAGCAAGCAAATCAATACAATTGAAAACACAGTTATGAACTATCCCTAAGGTACACCTCACTTTATAATTTATCTCCCCAGCAGAGTCGTCAGTTCTGTGATCGGTGGATCTGGAACTGACTGTTTAACGCTGGTTCGCGAAATGTCGCGGAAGCAAGAGTCGCCACCGTCTTTTATTTTCTCCAAATGGAAAGGACAAAAGCACAGAAAAATTCCTTATAGAGATTGCTCTCGGTTCGGGAGGTAGGTTATAGAAAGGGAAGGTGTTAGCACCCTTTCTATCCATGGTTATCCATGGGCTCTTAGATACTTGCTCATTTGTGTTTTCAAAAATGGTTTGTTTGCTTTTCAATTGTGGGTTTTAAAAAGTTTCTTTGAAAATTCCAGTTCGACTCTTGTATCGGTCCTCAAGAGTATTTGAAAAATTGCTTTCGAAAGCTTTTTGAAAATGTGTTGGTGTGAAAAGTATTTTTGAATTTGTTTTGAAATTAGAGCAAGTATCTAGAGTCGTCTACCTACCCTAAGGAATTCGTCTGTGTAAATGTCCTTTAAAGTAGTGCCATCCCACCATTGAGAGGTAGGTAGCACCACCATTGGAGGTGTTCGGGTCAATTCGAGGTTCGGGACATGGTGATCACCAGAGCAATAGGAAGACACCTTAGAAGCTACCCTCATGCCAGGTTCCCGGATCATGAGGACTTACTAAGACATCCTCTACTCAACGATCACCTTTCGAGGCAAGGCAACAGTGAGGCGTACCCTAGGGGTGGTGTGTGATTTGTGTGTCAGATTCGTTTATTTTTGTCTTGTTCATGTCAAAGGTGATCTACGCGTTTGTTTTTATTTCGTCATTCATTCTTGCATGCCATTATTTAACAGTTAAAAAATTGCGGAAAGATAAAATTCCTAAACTATTACAAAGGCGCGGGTCCACATCGCCAAAATTTCCAGGACCCGATTTGACAGAAAGTAAATAAATAAGGCAAAGTGCGAAAGATAAATATTTACATGGCTTTGGGAGAGGTGCATAAAAATTATAAGAAACGAAATAAAACGCGCGAATTGAAATAAGATTGGAAACGAGGGCGTTGGACCCTTTTTAATGAAACTAAATTAAATTATTAAATTAATTAAAATTAAAATGAAAGGGAATTATTTTTGGTATTTTTGTATTTTATGATTTTAATGAAATTGAATTAAATGAAAGAATATTAACCCTAATTCTAGTTTTTTTTTACTTATTAAGAAAAAAGAAAAAAAGTATTTAAAGTTAAACCTAGATTAACCTAATTATTTACATGCAATTTTGATTTATAAAAAATAAATAATATTTAATTATTAATAATGGTGAAAAAAGAATAAAAGTAATTAAAATAATTAAACCTAATTTCTACAAATTTTGAGTTAATTAAGAAAATGCTTGAATTAAACCTAATTTAATAGCTAAAATTAATGAACAATATTTATTTACAAAAAAATATATTAATTAAATAAAATACTTATTTTTGTCTTTTTCAGATTTTATATTGTTTTTTATGTTTTTTATGAAAATAATTAAATTGAAGAACTAATTAAAAATAATAATTGAATCAAAATAAAAAAAAAATAAAAAAATGTAAAAAAGACTTGCAAACCTTGGGGGGTTCTGTCCCCAGATGGAGGTTATTGTTAGCATCTAAGCCCATTAAGCTTTTAGCCTTGTTGACCTTTTGACTAGCATGCCTGTGCATTGACCAACAAATATGGTGCTCCTCTGATCAGAGTCAATGGATCAATCTCAGTGGCGCGTGGCATTGTTGGACCCAGGGGTGTATGATGATCCTCAGAGCATAATCTGCATGGGAACATATTTAAGATAAAAATATAAGGGAAAGGGAGGGGGACCTGGGATCGAACCCAGGTCCTGTGGTTTACCAAGCGTTTTCTCCACCACTCAAGCTAGCGCGTTCATTCTTTAATCTGATGGAAACTAAATAATATAATGAAAAAAAATGGATTAGTGGACAAAATAAAAAAACGCGCTAATTATTTGAATCCTCCAATGGTACTCTTCCACGCATCATCTTCCCCATTGATTCCTTGCTTTTGCCTGTAAATATATTTTAAATAGCGGGGGTTTTAAACCCCCACAATCTAAAATGCAGAAAATAGCGAATAGAAATCAAGCCAAAAGAAAAAGGGTGCGACTAGTGATTCTGGATCGTCCAAGCATGCTGGTTTCAATGATATAGGTCTCGAATCTCAATTGTTCCAGAATAAAGAAACCCTAATTCATGAACTCTGTAACCCTAAAAGGCAACAATGGCAATTTCGCGTATGGTGCACAAAACTTCAATCAAACCACATTGTTAGCTTCAGAATGGTCTCATTAGTACAAATCCATGAATAAAATGCAATGAGAATGCTGGGAATTTGAAATACGAATATGCATATTACATGAAAAAGTTTGAGTTTTGTATACCAATTCTGGGCGTTATGAATGTGGAAAACGATTCAAATATGTTGCTTGATGTCTCAGGAAGGTGATGAGATGATTATTTTGGCTTGAAACCTCTTGGAACCCTGTTTTCAGTTTTGAAAATTTTAGGCAAAAGTGTGAGTTTGATTCTTTGTCTATGGCGCAGCTGGGAGCTTCTTGGTATTAGGGTTGCACTATATATGTATGTGTGAAGGTTTTAGGGTTGAGAAATTGATCAAAAATCCATGAATTGAAGGAATCAATATTTGATTTTTATGCCATAATTTTCCAAATCTTTTTCATGCTATTTTGGCTTCAATCATATCCAATCACCTTTGATTCTTTCCTAACCTGATTTGCACGAAATCTTGGAGATATTTTATGCACAAAAAGATTCAAAACATTAGGTTTGGTATTTTTCATGTATTTTAATTAATTAAATGAATTATTAATAATAAAAAATCCAAATAAATAAATAAAAATGATAAAAAACTTCCCTTTGGGCCACATGGTCGTGCACATGCCTTGGATGATGAATTGTGGAAGAAAAAGAGGCCCATTAGCATTTTTAGGTCATTTGGAGCAATGTTGACTTTTCAAAATATCCAAAATTTCCCAACTTCCACAAGGCATAACTTGCTCAATTTTTAAGCTTTGCTCATGTTCTTGGACATTTTGGAAAGGTATTTGAGTCCTCTAACCAATGTCTTTGGTCCCATGTCATTTGGATTTACCAATCTCAAGTTATGGCCTTTGACTTAAAGTCCCTTTTTGTTGACTTTTGAAAATGACCTATAATGTTGAAATTGATAACTTTTTGTGAGAGCATTTCTTGGACTTGAAGTGTGAAGAGGAGTTGTAGGGAATGTCATTCTCTTCAAAATGAGATTTGGATGGAATTTTTTTGATAATCCATGTGAAAGTTATGCCCTGGTCAAGTTATGCCCTTTTGACAAATCTTGAAGAATATGGGAGGGCAAATTTTGGGGTACAACAACTACCAACTCAATAGTTGAAGGTAGAAGAGAAAAAGATATACCGACTCACAGATGACGGTGAAATACCAACTCAATAGTTGAAGGTAAAAGATAAAAATATAACGACTCATAGATGACGGTAAACTACCAACTCAATAGTTGAAGGTAGAAGAAAAAGATACCGACTCACAGATGACGGTAAACTACCAACTTAATAGTTGCAGGTAGAATATCAAAAAGATACCGACTCACAAATGACGGTGAACTACCAACTCAATAGTTGAAGGTAGATTTGAATATCATAACTTTTCCCCAAAATTCTGGTATTTCACCTGGAACGGGTCTCAACTTCTTCTTTAACCAAGGAATTCCGCCTGGAAAGGGTAATATAAGTTGTCTCAAATAAAGAGACTTGTTACTTGCAAAGATTTCATAACGAGTAATTTCTGTGAATTTGAAAGTTTTGCCATCCACTGGCGTAAACTGACGATGGACTACAAACTAACCACTCATAGAGTAAATAGCAAAAAAAGTTACGTCAACTTGTATAGGGAAGCACGAGTTGCTCAAATAAAGAGACCTGTTGCTTGTTATCATGGAGGATTGTAAAAAGAAACGAATTTATGGGGATAGAAATATGGCTTCCTGGGGAAAGAGATATGAATTCCTGGGGAAATGCCACGTTATTCCTTCTGAGGAGATAAAGTATTCTCGTGCCAAAATAAATGCACATTCTCAAACCAGGGCTCAAAGCTTGCAAAAATCCAAAGTAATAATATTGTTGGGGATCACAAATTCAAACCCGAAATGAACTGGAATGAAATAGGAAACCGTAATACATCCTTTGAGAAACAAACTCAAGAGGGAACATCAAATCCATCCAGACAAAGAGTTGTACAGGAAGGTTGAAGCAAAAAACTTCCACGAGGGATAACTCAGTGGGTAAGTTGAAAGAATGTATACTTTCTGCTTAAGGCCGACACTCTATTGGAGAGAGGACAACACAAATCTGTAAAACAGGGTAATATGTCAAAAAAATAAAATTAATGAATGCAAATGAGCAATGATTTGCTAAATTCAACTATGTATGATATATGTATGAATGTATGAGTGATATCGTGCATATGCTGGTAAAAGGATACATAATCAGTACAAACAAACAAAACCGCCTCAGGTACCAACAACATTGGGCTAAACATCAAACAGAGAGATCACTCCAAGAAAGGTAAAAGCAACTGTGGAAACCAAACTCATTGTCCGTCCTAACTTCACTGAGGAGAAAAATAATCCGGATGTAGCTAAATCAAACAGATACTGGGATAGAACATCTTTCTTTCGGTTTCATTGGAAAAACCAGTTTTTTACAAGCAACATTCCTACTGGAGATTGCAATATCAGCCTCAAATAAAGCAGTCTGACATCGAGACAACCAAACCTCACTGGGGAATTCAAACCTTTTTCCTGGAGAAAAAACTGAGGATTGAAAACTTTTCATCATAAATACTCATTCCAACAAGAGATGCCATGGGATAACCTTCCCGGGGAATAGCATACAGACTTCAATGGGGAAACAAAAGTTTTACAGTCTGTACTCCTACTGGGGATTTCGATACTGATTGTGAATAAGGCAAATGGAAACCAAATTGTCAAAACATTCACTGGGGGAAATCAGGCCCACTTTGAAGGAAGAAAAACATACAGACTTCAGTAAGGGAGACAATGCTTCATCATCGAGACATCTACTGGGGACTTCATGCTGACTTCAATGGGGAGGCCAAAACCACATCATTGAGGGGAAACCAAGATACGTGCTCCACTGGGGAAACCGGAGATACGTTCTTCACTGGGGAAACCGGAGATATGTGCTCCACTAGGGAAACCGGAGATACGTTCTTCAAGAGTAATTATTGCACCAACCTCTTTGGGGAGAAAGGACTTCTATCAAATAAACGAGGCCTTTACTGGAGAATATTGGATTGAGTCTTCATATCATACAAACCTGTTCCAACAAAAGATTCCCTGGTATAGTCTTCCTAGGAAATCAAGAAGTCAACACTAACGCCAATACTGCAAAAAGAGCGATATCTTAGCACACCAAGGGAATAAAACCTTTCATCATATGAGGGAAAACTTCGCTGGGGAATCTGGGACAGAGGCTTATGACCATGCAAACTCAAAATTAAAAGCGAACCGAGACTTGGCCGGGGATAATAGGATTACAAACCAAATATTGTACCTTGCACCCACTGGTATCATCTTCAACTATCCGAGAAACACACAAAGATTGCGCACATACCAACAAGATGACTTGAGAGAACCTTCCTGGGGAACCAAGAAGTTAACACTATAGTAGTCAAAATTATGGGGATTTTAAATCAAACTCAACACTTGGTGAGAGAAAAACCCAAAAACTTGACAGTTGTCTCAACACCTCTTAGAAAATATACTGTCCTTGTCTAGCTACTTGGGAAGCACATAACAACAAGAATGTCGTAACAATAGAAAGCACTGCTCTAAAAGAGATTCCATATCAATTAAAAAGGGAGAAAGAACTCCATCAAATGAGCAAAGGCTTCATAGCTCTTTTTAATCTCCGTTTGATCACCACCTGGCTGGGTAAAGAATCACACTCAGTTGGAGAAGTTTGCAGCAAGACTGGAAAAATGGGATTATGAACCCAACATCATAACACAACTTGAGGAAGGTTCTCAGCTTGGGGTAGACATAGTAACTATCTTGACGAAATCTGGATATGCCCTTGGAAACCAATCTGGTGTCTCAAGCTTACCATGCTGATCAATGTAACTTTTATAACTTGCCCTTGGCTGCATGCTTTCAGGATAACCTTTATGATCAAATGACTTCTAGAGATTTGTTGATTCTTGACGTAACTGCCCTAGATTGGCTGAATATTGAATCCTCTTTGCTCCATAACTCTTCTCGGCAACATGACTTTTGCTGATACTCAAATGTAAACTTTCATGATATCAAGCAGTTGTTTTACAAGCAGAAAATGTTTATTCTAAGAATGAAAAATCTAATGCAATAATTATGTAAGTATTAAAGATTTCATTTAATAAGATGTCGCAAAACCCTGTGAACAAATCACTAGCCAGGATGCGACATGGATTTTTTGTGTGAAAGATAACAAAAGCAATATGATACCAATCACAATAATTTAGCAAAATTAATGGGAGTCAGGAAACACTATCTCATTGGAGTATGCTTTCGAAATAAACCCTGTTTCAATTAGGACTTTTGAGGGTTGTAACGTGGCCTGGTTCACGGTTTTAGAAAAAAGATTTAAGGCTCAAAAATATTTGGTGCCCACCCCCTTCATGATGTTCTTCAGTCCTAAGTTCAGTTAACTTGACACGAACATTCATCTCTCAAAAGAAATTTCGAGATAGTTGAGGAATCAAACATGCAAGTCACTCATTCCTGCTTCTTTTGGGTTTTTTGTCACACGAATCTGTTCTTTGATGAGGATTTCACATTGTAATCCTTTATCTCATTTTAGGCTTTCCATTTCTTCCTTGCCTTCTGGAAAAATTCCTTTTGACTTTGACTCAGAAGTGCAGCGGGATGCCCTGACTTTTGCCTAAGCGACTTATTTTTTCAAGTTCCGACTTAGCGGGGCTTTTTGTCTCTTTATTTTTTCATCATAATTTTTTTATTCATATTATTTTTTTTCTTTTTTTTAACATGTCGCGTGACTTTGAGTCATTTGTGACTTGTCGGAAGAATTGTGACTGCCCTATTTCTGGGTAGATGAAAGATAACCATTGTTGTATCGTCATCTGCTGATCCCATGATATGTGAGAGATACCCATTGGGATAACATCTTCTTTTGATGCACACTACTGATATGCAGAGGTTAAACATTGCGGTTTTGAATTCCCTCAACCTTTTGAAGGATAACCATTATTGTATCCTTAGATGCGCACTCTTGATGAGATTTGAATACTCAATTAGATTAACTGAACACTACCCTGCCCCGGGTTTTTAAAAAAAATGAGGGTTTTTTCTGAATAGAAAAAGAAACTCCTACTTCAAGGCTCAAAGGGGTTAACGAGGGTTTCACTCCCTTATATCTCCGGTGTTTGAGGATTTGAAACAATGCCTGTACATCGTCAACAGGATTTTATCCAAAAGCATACAACCAGAAAATTTGTGTTTTAATATCATCATCCTCCTCCCAATCTCTGCCTAGGCAAGAGAATGGGTAACAAGTTGGTATCATAAAGAAATTTAAAATTAAAAACAAATACGAGTGAAATGAATGAATTTCTTCAAGACAAACATACTCATTGTATTAAGATTAAACATTCAAATGCAAAAATTCTTACATGCAAACAATGCAATGATAAACAAGAAAAATTACAAATGAGAAAGCAGTATAAATGCTAATAAACTAAGAAGGCTAATCATCCTTAAACTCCAAAGCATTCTTCAATCATCTTTATCCTTCGACAAAGACTTGACTTGAACTTCAAGACAAATATCCTTAAACGACAAGATACCACTCCGGACCAAATTCTGAACTTCAATTTTGAATGGATAACAATTTTCAATGCTATGCCCCAGGGCTCCATGATGAAAGGCACAAATCAAATCATCTTTGTAGAACCACGTCATCTTCTTAAGGACCTTTGGTGGAAGTCGGGTCTGAACCAAATTTCTCTGCATCAGGATGGGAAACAATTCTGTATAGGTCGTTGGGATTGGATCAAACTGATTTTTCCTCTGATCAGGAACTTGCTGATTCTGTTGACAAACTGGAGCGACAAGAGGTAAGTTGAACACAGGGATGACAGGAGGAACATGTTGATTCTGATGATAATTATTTCTTCCTCTGGTTCTCTTCTTAGAAAAGTTATTATAGAACTTCTTCACACCACTAGCTGAGACACCATCTTCAGATGAACACCCCTTTTGGACATCCTCTTCTAGAGGAACTCCCACATTTACTTTTTCAGGGAAGTCATTGGACGCATTGACCATCACCTTCTCATGAAAGAATGATCTCAGAGTTTCTGTGAAGACCTTTGCCATCTCTTCTTCCTTACTAGAAGGATTGACTTGGGCAACAACCAAAGTTTTAACCAAAGCAGTTAGATACTCCATGCCAGCCTTCAAAGTAGTTACCTCTTTGCGAAGTTCAAAGATCTCTTTCTTAATGTTTTCCATCTTCTCTTTGAAATTAGCCCGAGTGTTGTAGTGATGAGTCAGCTTGCTGAGTGAAGTAAAGAAGCTGGGTAAGACACTTGGATATGAATAACAAATGCAAGAAATATGTGCAATGTGATGCATGATATGCAATGCACATGATTTTATTTTATTTAATATTTCAAGGGATTTATGGTTTATAGACACGTTGCCAACATCCAAGTAATAAGGCTTTTGTTTCTCTTTCCAGAATCCATGGTTTAAAAGTACCTGAGATATTCACAAATAGTCAACCTTTAAATCCCTTAAAATATGGTTTTCTTTAAAAGATGCTTATGAGTGCATGGATGCATGATGCAACAATCACACACAAGATCACACATATAGGGTTCATAGGTTCAACGTCACGAGCATGAGGTCGAAGGTACTATCCATAAGGTATTGGTCTAAAAAGTTATCACCTGCCGAACAAGGTTCTAGAGGTTCTCAGAGTCTACATCATTCCTTCGGATATTACCAACTTCCCGATTAACTCGGTAATTAGTAATATTCTCAAGAAAGACTCGTCCGAGCGTAGTATCGTGTGACAACTACTTCCAGATTACTCCGTTATAGCTTCCGCACTACACCTAAAAGGCCAAGAGGGGTTAGGTAATCTACGGTCCTCAGTTTCGGCAGGCTCCCAGGTCGAAAGCAGTACGTCTTCCCGATTACTCGGTAAATGACACTACAGTCAAAGGGGCCTCCACTGAGTGGGGGATCTCATGCATCCTTTTTTGGGATTACTCCCTCAAAGTTAACATGACTATACCGCCCGTCCTATCTTAAAGTTTTCCCAAGTCCGGGTATAGGACTTATGAGTAATCACCAAGCACCCTGTAAACCAGGAAAATCTAGACAAACATATATACAAAATATAACACATAAACAACAATAGCACATATACAGATATAAACAAAGATAGGCTCAACCCACTTAGGAATGGACCAGCAAGAGGTCAATATTTCCCCAGTGAAGTCGCCATTTTTTCTGTGGCGGTAGAAATGTGCAAGACTAAGCCATTGGATTGACTAGACTTTATACAAATCAAAATAAAAATCGCCACCCGCGCTTTATTGTTTCCAAAGGAATGGGAAAAGAGCGAATAACCCAAAAAGAGGGGGAAAGATTCAAGGTAAGGGGGTTGGTTATGCAAAGGGAAGGTATTAGCACCCTAAACATCTACGGTACTCCACAGGAACCTCTTTGAAAAAATCTTTATATTTTGGCTATAAAAATGTGTTGTATATAAAATGGATGGTGGAGGTGAGAAAAGAAATATTTTTTGTGATTTTTGCACCCGCCGCGGTTGCGAACCTTTAGTGCCTACGTACCACCTTTCGTGCAATAGGGGATCAGGGTACACGTAGTTCCTCTTTTAAAAATTTGAAACACAAGTGTGTTGGTTGATTTTATGAGATAAGACATCATCGCAATTGTCCGTGTGAAAAACATACTTACTACCCACAATCATGAGAAAGGAGAATTTGCATCATCTCAATGTGGAGGATATGGCTTGGATTTTAAAATCAACAATGCCCCACTCAACACCCAAGTGGAAAATATCTCACTTCACTACATATTGTAGAAGTATAGTTGTTTGCATCACTACAAGGATTGACAAGAGTCTAATATTTTGAGAAAAGTTTAAAGATAAAAGCCAAAGTGGTAAAATGGTTTGAAATGAGATTGATTGACTTTTAGTCTTCTCACAAAAAAAAAGGGTCAAGGTATTATTAAATTGATTGAAATTTATTTATGAAAATGTTTCGAAGATGCATGGACCTAAGTCCAAGTTTATTATGAAAATGTTTCAAGTTTCAAAACAAGAAGAGTTTTTTTTAAGGAGGGAGAAGATTTTTGAAATTAAAGAAGATGGGAGGAGAAGAAGAGGTTATCCTAAAGCATAAGGTAAAAGCTAGGGATAAGAACCATCTAACTAACAAGAAGCCAATACTTGACATTATAAGCTGTTGTACCCCAAAATTTGCCCTCCCATATTCTTCAAGAAATTGCCAAGCCAAGTCACAAAATTCCCCAAGGGTTGCACAATGCAAAGGTCTCCTATCCAGTCAAAACTAGGGTTTGTGTTCTGATTAAGAAAATGAAGTTTTCAAGGGCCCAATCAAGTCTCATATGCCTACAAATATGGTCAAATGTCCTCATATCAAGTTTCAAGGCATTCAGCTCAAAATTGCACAGTCAAAACCCTAAATCGCACTACAGTCAACTGTAGGGGCAAAATGGTCATTTGACAGTCAAAAGTTCAAATTTTTGGTCAACATATCATTTTGAAGCCACAAACATCATTTGATCAATGCTTGATCATGACTCTCAAAATTTGGCTCAGAAAATCATCAAGATGCAAAAGTTTCCTTATTTGGACAGCTGAAAAAGTCAACTGAAATTGACCAGGGCATAACTTTCACATGGATTATCAGAAAAATTCCATCCAAAGCTCATTTTGAAGAGAAAGACATTTCCTACAACTCATCTTCATACTTCAAGTCCAAGAAATGCTCTCACAAAAAGTTATCAATTTCAACATTATAGGTCATTTTCAAAAGTCAACAAAAAGGGACT